CTCTCTTCTCCGTGCATGTATGTGTGTGTGTGTGTGTGTGTGTGTGTGTGTGTGTTTCTGTTTTGCTCTTGTAATCCATCGTTTTATCTTTTGAAGTTCATCTTTTAACTTTTACCTTCTTGCACTCGAACCAAAAGGCCTGACACACCTTGTAGATGGTCAAGTTGTGCAGGGATTTCAAGCAACAGCAGCGTGCAAAATACGTCATGTGAATGCATTCTAAGCTTTTGTTACCCGTCATTAGTTGGGCGTAATCCCCCTTGGATGTGCCGAGAATCAGAGCTGCATTTCATTGTGATTTTTTCTTGTCATCATCTTCAAACCTCGCTAATGGACAAGACTGACTCATTTGCTCAGCGGAGTGTTATGTCGGACTGGTGATAGACGGTGGAGATGATAATGCGCCCATTTCTACTTCTCGTCCACCTTTCTTGCTGGGAAAGTTGAAACCATGTTGAGACTTTTTGCTAAAATATGTTTATATTTCCTTCACTCTGTTGGTTTTTTTCCTCGCCTTTTTAATGAAGCTAATTTTTTCATGTGAGCGGATTTCAAGAATTTTCTAAGAATCTCAAGTTGCACGACTTAATGAGAACTTTCTTTGTTCCGACTCTTTTCCTTCTCCAGTTTCCCGGGCTGCAAACTGTCATTGTTTAATGTGTGATAAGCTGCCATGAAAGCAAATCTTCCCCCGAAGCAAAACAAAAAAATGGTAATTTGGACAGACAATATAAACAGCTTTTGTTTCCTAGTAATACACAATATAATCTAATGGGGCAAAACTGGGCGGAAAGCTTTTGTCCATGGCTATCAAGTTTAATTAAAAAGCCACGTAATCCTTTTTATTGATTAATTAGTAGAATTCCCCTCTCGCCCCCCCCCCTCTCTCCTTCTCTCCCTCTCTCTGTCTCTCTCTCCCTCTCTCTCTACCTCTCTTCTGTCTCCCTCTCCTCTCTCAATCTCTCTCGAAATCTCTCTATCAACCCCCTCCCCCTTTCAATCTCCTGCAAATTTCTCTCTATATTAGCATAGTTTGTCTAACTGAAGAGTTTGTTTGCTGTTGTCCTCAGACCAACCATGTCCTCCAAATCAACAAGTTCCAATCGTCTTTCAGTCACCCCGACAGCAAAGAGTCCAAAGTCCCACTACAGGTGAGTTGTATTCTTGTGATGAACTTCTGTCCAAAAAAAGGCCTCGATTTTAGCGCCCACTTGCTCATTTGCAAGGAAAGCCTTTGTTTCTTAAAAATCACCACATGTGTTTACCTGTTTATTGTCTAGATAAAGATGTCAGTTATGAGACTATGAGAACGAGAAAAAAGCACCAAGAGATGTGCTAGGATAAGTTGATATGTGTTACATAGCCCCTTAAGTACACTAAGATTTAAACGCCATGCTGTAGTATTACCAGCCTGTGGAAATTCTGCCTTAATAGTCTGGTAGGGAATTCAAGCCCACGTCTTCTGCACCATTGTCGGGTCTGATACTTACACAGACACACACAGGCACACACACACACACACACACAC